TTGATTGAGAGGTTCAAAAATACTGAATTATTTAGTGACCGCTATCCATCCCTGGATAAATGAGGGGCCACTGTGGTATAAACTTAGTTGCCTCCCTATCCCCAAAGTACAGGAATAGGTGTCATCCTCATGTCTTAGAGACAGACCTTGAACCTCAAGACCCTTTGAGATCGGCCTGGATCACGGCTGTCCTTCCCCATGAACTGCAGTGACAACTGTGGACCCCTCCCAGGGCAGCAGAGGTGCCAGGGCACAGCCAGCCCCAGCAGGGACTGGGACGGAAGCTGGCTTGCCAGAGGCCTGACTATGCATCAGAGCAACTTGAGGAGTGTTGTAAAATGTTCCCTGCATCTTCAGCTATCCTAGAGACATGTCTGGAGAGGGATCTTCGTATAGTATGAAGGAAGGACCAGGAAAAGAGCAAGAAAGAGAACATAAATCTTCAGATATTGATAATCTGGAAAATGTGTCAATCCCATTAGTGACTGTAGGATAAACATGCAGTAAATGAAACTGGGTACTTCTGCCTCATCATTTCTTGTTCGTATCCCAATGACACACATACGGTATATTTAACTTCTCCTGTGAACAGCCAGTCGTATGGACAGCACTGCAGGAAGATGTATCGGAGGCAGGGTCAGTGACCTTTGTGTCCTGCGTGCCCCTGGGGTATGGGACGCTGAGTGCTGTCCCTCCAAGGAGTGCACCTTCAGCTCTCTCCTGCCACTGTTTTCCATCACCAACTCTTTTCCTGTGTTTGTTCAGGACCCTTTTTTTAGCCTGCCATCACAGACATTTTTTGCTGATTCCCTGCCAGGCTGCTTGCTATGAAAATATCACTTTGTCACAGTTGCTGGTTTATTAGGAGAGCGAGAGACCTCTGTGTAAAGCTATGGGAAAGGGCCCTCAAGCACTCTATCTGCCTTAAAAGTCTTGCTTTCGGTTTGGAAAGGAACTTGAACTAAAACCACCAAAAAGCTACCCAGAAAACACTGATTCTTTGTTAAGTTTTGTGATTGTTCCCACATCCCTCATAATTCTCAACCGCAGCTCTGTACTAGAGGCTAGATACAAATGGCGGGCATTTTTCCTCCTGCTAGCAGTGG